ACTCATAGAGGGTCGCCGGAGACTCATAGAGGGTCGCCGGAGACTCATAGAGGGTCGCCGGAGACTCATAGAGGGTCGGCGGAGACTCATAGAGGTCGGCGGAGACGCATAGAGGGTCGCCGGAGACTCATAGAGGGTCGTCGGAGACTCATAGAGGGTCGCCGTCGGTTTTTATGAAGGCGCAAAAGTGGTCGGTGCCGTGTCAGGTGGTCGCAAAAGAGCACAGCACGCTGCATGTACAACCTGTTGGGTTCCAACGTGGTGTGAGCGTGGTCAGGGTTTCTGCCGTGGAGGCGAGGCATTGTATCCACGGTGTGCCGCAGCCTCGGAGAACCCCGGAATTGTTGAGAACCACGGAGGAACCGAGACTACGACGACGACCTGGTCAGGGCGCTTGAAGAACTTGTTATGTTCTCAGTTCTGAAGGCTGTGGTCTGTCGTAGGCGAGTATTGTCGTGAGCGTGTTGTGTCCACTTGCGCCAGAGTTTTTTGGAATGGAACAGAGGAGATAGGAGATAGAGGTTACATACCACCATGGCAGCATCAACCACATCCAAGCACAACGGCTCAATGAGCGGCACAGAATAACTACCTAGAATGACGAACCACCGTCAGCGACAGGATGTCGGAAATACAGAATGTCCGAGGAAATACACCCTGAAATATTACTTTCTTGAACATGAAGAACTTTACTACTTTTTATGTTTTATTCGGTGTTTCGTATGCAGGTGACTGTATCGCACCTAATGTGGTAGGTGTTAGTGGTTGTACAGTTTGCGAAGCACCGGAACTCCAAGGTAGCTCATGTGTCCGGGGTGAAGGTAATAACCAGAGATGGCTTCAGTGTTACTCGACGATTGAACAGTGCTGTAACGATCCGGAGATCTTAAACAACCTTACTCCTGACAACTGTGTCGCCGACTTCAACAGCAGCTCTAAGTGCGACATGTATGTGTCGAGAGATAGTACTTACACTAACACGGCCTGCCAAGATGACTGCAAAGCTGTGGAGTCGGCAGACAAAGATCCGGAGAAGGATTCAACTCTCCAGAAGAAGTGCATGTACGAGCATTTTGAGGTTGATAACAATAACATTGTTACTTCTGGAGTTTGT